CGGGAACTACTAGGGTCCTCCCGGGAACCCACGCAAGACGGGCCACCTCAGGAGCTCAATCGGTGACCACGTTAGTGCCCCTTGTGGATGACTTTGCCCTCCGCACTTCGTTAGTCGCGGTCACCCAGGGTCCGAAAATGTTACATGGAAAAGTCTAGAAATAATTCATATATTAAATGGCTCGGTAAACCTCGCACTGTCTTGCTCCAGCTCAACCGGTACATGAATCATCTTTTTGTCCGGTATATCCACCCCATATATATATGAAAAAACACATATAGGGGTCTAATGCTATCCTCGATTTCAGACGTCCAATGGGGGTCGTGGCAGTGTCCCCCGTGGATAAGGGGGAGATGACTGTATTAGTATTACTGACATTAGCATTAACATCACAATACTTTCATGTACACTTCTGTGGGAGGTGAAATCCGGGATGCTTGGTTTACAGAATCCTTGGCGTTATTTATCAGGAAAAAAATACAACTCCCTGCCTCAGCAAGAAGCCTCATAGGTTTTAAGTTTCACATAAAAGCACACGTTTGTACTTTTTGGCTTTAGTTATTTCTTAAACAGTGGAGCAGCAGGGTTGCCCAAGAGATGCATTACTGCAGGCCACACAGTTGGATCTTGGGAACATAAGGATTAACTGTCCTAGGGCCTAAGTGGAGTGGAGTTGACACGGTTTCAAGTTTGTCACATGGGATGTTATCTAGTTCACAGCAACCAGGACCTTCCTCTCCCCCTGCTACCCTCCCCTTCTGACGCTCAAGACCTAGGTACAAATATGTGATCATGAGATGGCCCAGCTAAGGCTTCAGGTCATCAAGCCCTGTCCTCATTAAAACACTCACCATCCATCCATCACCTCAACCTGCCGCCCCCAAGAAAGCACTAAATCCTGGGGAGATGTAAAATCTAGAACCACTGAGGATATCCCCAGAATGGCACACAAATGCAAGAACAATTAAGACACAATTTCACAGTCATTTCTGCCAACATTCGATTGTCTGCAGCTCATTCACATGGTCCCAATTTAAGTGTAAGGAAAGCTCGGACACTGTCCTAACTGGTGTCCAGAAAGAGAAAATGAGATTGGTAAGCATCCAGCCACTTTGTCATAACCCATCAATATGATTGCCAGATTTATATTTTATTATTTCCCCTATGCATTCTACACTGTCACCCAACTCAAAACCTCTGTAATTACTGAGCTCATCTCATTGTTAACAATTTCTAGGGCCTGCTGTCCTTCACATCAGGTTCAAATACTGTTCCTTACCACAAGGAAACTATCAGTACAAAATAATCTCCATGTATACCCAATATACAGGAGGTGAGGGGCACAGAAGGACATACAGAAGATGCCAAAGAAATCATCCCCAACATAGATTTCTATACTCAACAATAGTGCTTTTAAAGAAAGAGCCTGAAATAAGACTATATGTGGCCAAAAACGAAAAAATGTAATAGAAAACTAACCCACAGGAAATGAATGCTAAAGTTACATTCATTTACAATCAAAGGGAAGCGATTCAGGTGGAAGGTCTGCAGCAACAGCAGTAATAAAGATCCAAGATATGGATGTATCTGGGGATTAATACAATTGTTCGTTATCTGTATAAAACATACTATCTCCTTGTTGAGTACAATGACAGAATCAGCATCCAATCCTCAATAATATCCCTTATGTTATGCAAGAGGAAGGTAAAAATATTAACACTATGCTCATATATGTTAAAGTGTTATAATTTTAGCTTAAGCATTAATAAAATAGGAGTAAATATACTCCCAACTAAAAGCAAAGTTTAGAATGTAAATAATCTATACAATTTCCTTCTGAGTACAAGAAATAGAACTGAAGCAAAGATAGGCACAAAACAAGATGTATTTAAAAGCAAATATACCAGCTATCACACAAAATAAATGTTTGAAATAGCAGTCAGTAACTTTGGTAGGTCTAAAAAATATCCAGCAATATTCAGTTTATAAGCCACACTTCCAAGACATAATGTTACAGAAATAGATGAAATAACACCAAGTCTACAAGATCTCATCCAGAAAAAAAGGAAACAAAGAGGGGAACATTTCCCATTTCATTTTGGGAAGGAGTACTACTCAGACACCAACACCAGTACAAAATATTGAACTATAAACCAACATGCTCATGATTTTAGACATAAAATTCCTCAACAAAATACTAGCAAATAAAATGCTGTAATGTAGACACAATAAAAGAATTATATTCCATGACTTGGTGTGGTTTACTGCAGGAATGCAAAGCTAGTTCGACATTCAAAAACCAGTCACAGCAAGCCATCTTATCAATAGGCTACAGAAGAAAAATCATATGATCACATCAATTGAAGGAGACAAACATTTGACAAAATTCAAAACCCATCCATAATGAAAGCTGTTAGCAATTTAGGAGGGATACTTTCCAAGCTAAAAAACATCTATATGGAAACCCAAAGCTATCATCGTATTTATGGTAAACACTGAACGCTTTCTCCCTAGCAGTAAGATGAGGCAAGCACGTCCCCTTCCATCACTTTTATTCAATACTAAACTGGAAGTTCAATGTGGTACAATAAAGACAGTAAACGGAAATGACAAGACTACAGGAAAAGATGTTTACTATTTGCTGATAACATACTGTTTATAAAGAAAATCCTAAAATTTTTTTTTAATCTGCCATAACTAGTGAATTCAACAAGATCATAGGATACAAGGTTAATATATAAAAATTAACATTTCTCTATAATAGTAATCATGTGCAACCTGAAATTAAAAACTCAATACCACATATGATGACACACAGAAAAGTGCATACAAAAAAAATCTAAAAATTTTTGACTAAGGAGTAAATGCAGTTCAATGGAAGCAGGATAGTCTTTTCAAGAAATGGCACCTGAACAACAGAGCATACTTAGGCAAAAACACAAACTCAACCTAAACCTCACAGGGTAATACAAAAATTAACTCAACATGGAACAGAGATTTAAATGTAAAAGGTAAAACTATAAAACTTTTAGGAAGAAATATTCAGGCCCTAGAACTTGCTGAAGACATGACATGAGAAGGATGGAGGTGGCCTTTGCAATACTCCATGATCAATACATCTTAAGTGGCTTGGCCTACAATGGCAATTCAGATCTACACATGGTCATTTAAAAGGCCCTGAGGAAGGTTCAAAGTGAACATATGATTATTTTTATAGCTTGCTGTACGGTATATTTCATAATGTAAGGTAATACTATCATATAAAAAAAATGCCAAAGGAGAAATTCCAAAATACCCTGATAAAAGGTACTAGTCATTAGTCTTTATACTGGGACTAACCCCATGGTGAAAACAGTAAAACTCACACATACCTGCATGTACATATGCCCACTTCATGTTAAAATTCAAGTCAGTTTATCTGAGAGTGAATCTCCACACAATCTTTTGTAAGATTAAAGAGATGCATTCTATGTGTTTTTTTCTGAATTTACCATTATTCTTAATTCAGCCATTTTTAAAATTTTGGCTCTAACTGAACCCCTAGAAAATTGCTGATGTAGAAGCCTCTAAGAACTGAAACTCAGAAATCACAATCAGGATACAATTAGGATCCATCTGAGGAGGTTACGCAGTGACACTGCTGTCCTCACCCCACAGAAACACAGAGAAAAAAATAAGTAGATCACAACGAAGAATGAGTTTGGGGTGGTTAGTCATAGGAAGAAACATCGTGTGTTTTAAAAGTTTGAATTCATATGTGTATCTTTGTTTCTGTTTGTCATTTTCAACAGAAAATTTAACCACTTCAGAGGCTTCTTCTGTACCAGATAGGTACATCTTTATCTCAGTACAAAGCATTTCATCACTTGAGCCTTTATAGTTCTCATAAGACTCATGCTGCTCATGGGTAGAGATAATGTTGTAGAATAAAGGCTTTAAAACAGTGTTTTCTGACACACTCTCAACTAACTCTCCTGATATTCAACACAAGTGAATGTACACAAAAGACCAATAAGGGAACAAGGCACTCTGATCTCCGAAACACTCCCCGCTCCCCACTTAAAGGGATGACAAATTGCCAAAGGCTTGTCAGGAGGTCTCAAAAAACCTGTGTTCGACTTTGTGTCTTTTTACTTCTATGTCTCCTCTTGCTTTGTTTAAATACCCCTGAGATAATTTTGCAGTGTAAACTAAGGTAAAAGGTGGCTGAAGGTTTTGCTAAGTGCACAGTAAAGACTGGATTACTCTCTTGGATGAACTCTTAGATGCAGAATGAGATTCTAGGCTGCATCATTACTAACATGGCTCATTAGATGACAACTGACATCCTGCAACACGTTTTCTCACAGGGAAGAAAACTGGGGGGATTCTCTTTGGTATAAATGATCAGATGCTGGCAAAAGATTTTCCAGTGTTTATACTCAAAGTCTTTCCACAATAGGAATCTTAGAGGTTGACTAAGGATTTTCCACTTGTGAAAGATCTTTCCACTTCTTTTCTACTGACAGCGTTTCTCCCAGAATGAACCCTTTGATGCTGTCTAAGGGATTGGCTTCGACCAAAGGCCTTCCCACACTCCCTGCATTCATAGGGCTTCTCTCCAGTGTGGATGACAGAGTGTTGAATGAGGCTTGCGCTCCAGCAGAAGGTTTTCCCACACTCCATGCACTCATAGGGCTTCTCTCCACTATGAATCCGCTGGTGTGTCGTGAGGCCTGACCTGCGGTTGAAGGCCTTTCCACACTCACTGCACTCATAGGGTTTCTCTCCAGCGTGGATGCTGATGTGTCGAATGAGGTCTTTCTTAGTGCTGAAGGCTTTCTCACATTCTTTACACTCAAAAGGTTTATCTCCAATGTGGGCCCTCTTATGCAAAATGAAGGTGTAGCAGTAGGTGAAGGCCTTACCACATTCAGTGCACACAAAAGGCTTCTCCCCAGTGTGGATAATGGTGTGCCGGATGAGGTTTGCCCTCTGGCAAAAGGCTTTGCCACACTCAAGGCACTCATAGGGCTTCTCTCCACTGTGGATCTGCTGGTGTCTTGTGAGGTATGACCTGCGCTTGAAGGCCTTCCCACACTCACTGCACTCATAGGGTTTCTCTTCAGTGTGGATGCTAAAGTGCCAAACGAGGTCTGACCGACTGCTAAACGTTTTCCCACATTCTTTGCATTCATAGGGTTTTTCTCCAGTGTGGGCTCTCTTATGCAAGATAAAAGTGGAGCTGTGGGCGAAGGCCTTTCCACACTCGCTGCATACATAGGGCTTCTCCCCAGTGTGGATCCGCTGGTGCCTGGTGAGGTGTGACCGGCGCTTGAAGGCCTTCCCACACTCTAGGCACTCATAGGGCTTCTCCCCTGTGTGGATCATGTGGTGCTGCAGGAGGTGGGTGCTCTTGCTAAAGGTCTTCCCACACTCTGTGCATTCATAGGGCTTCACTCCAGTGTGAATGTGCTTATGTCGAACCAGGAAGCATTTCTTATTGAATAGTTTCCCACATTCCTCACACTTGTAGGACTGTTTTGCTTCATGAATTGAGGGACCTTTCACTGGTCTGTGTAAATCTCGCGCACAGAGAGCATCTGAAGAGGCTGGCTCCTGGACAGTCCTGGGGGGCAGACCATCGTCTCTCCCTAAACTGTCACATTCAGGGCTCAGTTTCCCAGGCAGCTTCTCCTTTGGGGGGGCCATCCCTGGTCTTGGGTGGTGTTCCTGAACTTCTGATGGCTCATCTTGGTCCCGGCCTTGCCCAACCTCGGGGTCCCCTGAGACTCGCTGAGTCAGTCCCTCCTGGAATGAGATGTCCTCAGACAAGGCCTGTTGGGAAGAGGGAGGCTCTATGGTCTTGAGTTTTGTGCCGTCACCTGAAGGGAATTTGGAATTCAATACACAAAAGAGCTGATTAGTGATGAAAACACAGAAAAATAAAATCATCATTTCAGTGAGAGTAAGGAGATGAAAATAGTGGTTTGTACCTGCTGTTTTTTCTTATCTGAAACCAAATATGTGTTTTGGTTCTTGTATTCTTGAAATCTTTAGAGGGGAGACCCTACTGAGGTCATGAGCTCAAGATGAGATGCTGGAGATGGTCTATTGAGCTAGGTGGAGGTTAGAAGGGTTTGTAGGTATGCAAAAATTTTTGCGCAACAGGGCATAGGAGTCACACCTTTAGAAAGTACAAGAAATTGCCGTGGCCAGGTAACTCAGTTGCTTAGAGCGTCTTCCCTATATGCCAAGGTTGCAGGTTCAATCCCTGGTCAGGGCACATATAAGAATCAACCACTGAGAGCACAAATAAGTGGAACAAATTGATGTGGATATGTCTCTCTCTAATCTTCTCTCTAAAATCAATAAAAATTTTAAAAATTTAAAAATAAAAAAATTAAAAGTACAAGAAATCATATTAAGTGGGAGGCACAAAATGCAAGTGAAGACATCTCTTATAAGAACAGACAACTTTTCCAAGTAGAGCAATTGGACAGGGAAAGAAGATTTGATGACGGGGTCAAGCCTCTTTATTTACTTTCAGCACTTTGTATTCACTTTCCCCAAGAGTGAGGCCCTGAGAGGATTTTTATGCTGGGTAGAGAATGGATAAAGTTACAGAAGAGGCAGAAAAGAAGTGAAGAGGCAGGCTCCCTGAGAAGGTGTGATCTAGACTGTGGTGTAGGAATTGGCCATGGTCAGGACACCACCTCCTCCAGGCAGGTAAGAAGGGAAGCTATCCACAGGAGAGGTTTAGATTTAGAAGCAACAGAGGACAAAGACTATTTTTGGCATGAAACTGCTGAGACATCAGTGGCACGAGGAGCTCACAAAGCCTCCCAGGACCACAGGTTGCTGTGTGGCACAGCTTACTATAAGCCCAGGCAGCTGGAGCCGAGAACACATATGTACTCAATACATCCCCAACACTCCCAAGGAGTGGTAAAGAGTGTGACAGGGCTGGAGAGGGGGAGACAGAAGGACCATAGGTTAAAAGGCTCCATGGATCCCAAGCCTCCAGGGGCCACAGCAAGAAAATTTCCACAAATGCCACAGCAGCAGTCACCTCGCTGTCTGCAAGTGGTCATGATCCCCACCTGGTCGGCTGTTGGCACCCACCTGGGCAGAAGCTTAGGGGGAGTCCTCTCTTCAAAGACTGTAACTCTGGGCTGTGCTCCAACGGGGAGATCAGTTCTGGTTTAGACAAAGGACAGCCTGTTCAGAGGGAGAGAAAGGGGAAACGGGGATTTGGGTGAGAATACAGAAAACCTCTCCATCTAGGCAGGACTTAGGGACAAGGGGAAGACCTTGACACAAAGCTGCTCCCATCCATATAAACAAAATGCTGCAACCTGAAAACCAACTGCACAAACACCATCATTGGGGCTCCAACGCTGTAGGCATCGGTGCTGGCCACGTAGACAGCACCAGTTCCCTGTGATTTCTATCCCATAGTATCCTGACACCGTTCAGACATATTTCCTGAAAATGCTTTAATTTTAATTTTTTTTGTTAATCCTCACCTGCGGATATTATTTCCATTGACTTTTAGAGAGTGGAAGGGAGCAGGGGGGTGGGAGTGGGAGAGAGAGAGAAAGGCAGACAGACACAGCGACAAGTTGTCTTCGTTGATCTGTCTTTTTTTTTACATCCTAAGCAAAGTGTTTTATTATTCGTGCTTCCATGAAAAATCCCACTTTAGGGTTTCTGTACAGCATCCGCATGAAGTACACACTGTGCTCAGTACCATTTTATAGATAAAGAAACCAAGACTCAGGCAGATAAAGTGATTTGCTGAAATCATGAAATGAATGGCTGAACCGAGGTGGAAACCAGGGTCATCTCTGGCATCTAGCCTATTTTTAAAAAAATATGCTTTATTTTATTTTATTGATTTTAGAGAGAGAAGTGAAAGGGGGACAGAGAGAGAAACATCGATGAGAGAAACACTGATTGGCTGACTACTGCACACCCCCTACTGGGGATGAAGCCTGCAACCTGGGCATGTGCCCTGACCAGGAATTGAACCTATGACCTCTCGGTGCACAGGATGACACTCAACCAAATGTGCTACACCAGCCAGGGTGCATCTGGCCTATTTAACTACAAAGCTACACAGCATTGTTCCAGAAAATGCTGATTCCAAGTATGAGGATGATGACTGTGGGGTCAATGACGAGATCATTAATAGTAGTGACAGCAGCAGAGGTCACAGCCACTAAACCGACACACACCAAGGTAACAGAAGCACTGTTCTGAGACACTGACCCTCAAAACAGTCTTGTGAAGTAGTTACTATATCATCTCGTTTTACCTATGGGATAACTGAGGCACAGAGGGGTTCAGTATCTTGTCTAGGAACGCAGAGCTCGCCAGTGTGGCTCAGTTGATTGGGGTCAACCCACACACTGAAAGGTTGCCATTCTGATTCCCAGTCAAGGCACATGTTGGGGTTGCAGGCTTGATCCCCAGGAGGGGGCTTGCAGGAGGCTGCCAATTGATGTTTCGCTCTGACATCAATGTTTCTCTCTCCCTCTCCCTGCCTCTCTCTGAAAACCAATAAAAAATTCTAAAAAAAAAAAAATAAGTAGCAGAGCAGGGACTGGACACCAAGGGTCTTCCAAGTGCTACACTAAGGAGGAAATGGCAAACACTCCTGCATGGGACCAGCAGGCTCAGACAATGTAGGCTGTGGTGGTGAGAGGGCGATGTGAGCAGGAGAATTCAATTCTCAGGAAACGGGGGCCAGAGGAAGAGGCAGACATGGGGAGGCCAGACTTCAGCATTTCCTGAACCATTAAAAATAAACACTGGGAATTTCACATAGTGATTTAGTCAAATTGAGAAATCTGAACAAACATCAAATATCATCTATTCTTATCAACATCTCACACTCAAAAAAGACTTGTACTATCAAAAAATGTGGAGAGTGCCTGGCTAGGTGTGTCTCAGCAGTTGAGCATTGACCTAGAATCCAGGAGATCAAGGTTCAGTTACCAGGCAGGGTACATGCCCAGGTTGCACGCTTAATTCCCAGTCCGGGGCGTGCAGGAGGCAGCTGATCAATGATGACTCTCTCATCATTGATGTTTCTATCTCTCTCTTTCCCTCCCCCTTCCTCTCTCTGAAATCAATAAAGATTAAAAAAAAAAAATGCGGAGACTTTTCACAGTGAAGATATCTCTTTTAAGTTGAATGGATCAAGCTTTATGAGGGACTCACTGCAATGGCTCTATTTTCCTTACTTGCTGAGGATAGCATGCTGGGATAATTAAATGAGTCCAGCGAAACAATATAAACATACAGAAAAAAGTAGAGATGAGAAATATGTCGGCCTCAGAGAGCACAGTCTAGGTGACTACTTCCTTCTGCAAAATAACTGGCAGAAAAAGCCATTGTGAAACAACAGTGAGTGACAGGAGCCAGCCCACAGAGAGAAGCCAGGACAAGAGACCCAGAAACTGGGGCATAATCATATTTCTCTAAGCTCATCAGTCCCTCGGAGCCCAGCAGGAACCCTGCCTTTGGGTCCCGTGAGACACCCCCACTGCTTCCCAACACATCCTTACCTTTTGGCTGTGATCAGAGGCAAACTATGCATTTTTCCCAACAGTCCCTGAGATACAAGGAGACCAGGCAGGAAAAAGTGAGTCCAGAAAATTACTAAAGTCGTGACGAGGTCGGTAGGCAGACCACAGAGCCTTCTTGACCAGCCAGGCCTGGAGCCAGAGAGCAGAGTTAAGGTGACAGGTGTCCCCCACATGGCAGAGTTGGGGAGGACTTACCCAGAGAGACCAGGAGCCTGCAGGTCTCCAGCATCACCTCCTGGTATAGCATCCTCTGGGCCAGATCCAGCTGCTCCCACTCCTCCTGGGTGAAACTCACAGCCACATCCTCGAAGGTCACAGGCATCTGCAAAGTCAAATAGAGGCAGCAGTGTTGGTCTTGGGGCTGTTGGATAAGATCAGAGATGTCTCAGTGGAAAAGGTACAGAGACCCAACACCTCCTGAGGGCCAAGTTCGGTGCTGGGCTCAAGCAGGGACACTGCTCTGTACTGATGACAGGGTAGGAGACAGAAGCCGCCTATGTAGAGCCACTGGAGAAGGACCATCCTGTATGGACTGGAAGGCACAGAATAGTAAGGACTCTAAGATATCAGGGGAATGGAAACAAATATTAGTGATAGTGAAAACTGTACCAATTTTAAGTGACCGCACTTAAGACTCATTGGTCCTCGCTGTATGCCCTCCTCGTGCTGAGGGCTATTTACTTGTCGTGTTAAAGTGACTAGAAGTCCTCAGCTCTAAAGTCATGCTAAGATGTAAATCTAAAATCTTAAAACCAATACTTGCCTGCTGTGTGAACGTGGGGACTTCATTTCTCAGAACCTCAATTTCTGGATCAATAATTCTCAGCAACAACAGCTATAAAAATTTTTTTAAAAATACATAGCCCTGGTCAGTGTGCCTCAGCTGGTTGAGTTTCATCCCATGCACAAAAAGGTTGCCCGGACCAGATATCAAACCCGGAACCTTGGCATATCTAGACGATGCTCTAACCAACTGAGCCACCCAGCCAGGGCTGGTTGTTAAGTTTCTGCTACTTAAGAACCCCAGTGAACTTGGGCAGGTAACTGAACCTCCCTGAGCCTCTTGTACAAAGCAATGATAACAGAACTCAGTTCTGAGGAACTGAGGGTGAAATGAGATGACATACTATGCCCGCCTGTCAGCCCACACCAAGGACTCAATGCTTTTTGGTTTTCTCTTTGCTCCCACATCTCCGACAAATTCAACGAGACACGCTTATTTAATGGGGCCAGGTTTCCTACACAAAAATGCCAGAAATTGGCCAAGCATGCAAAGGGTGACCGTAGGACAGCCCTTCTCAAAACAGGTGGCATCTGAGCAGAGGTGCGAGGAAGGCGACAGGCCCTGGCTGGGTAGCTCAGCCGGTTAGATACTGGGTCATCCTCATACCCCAAGGTGGTGAGTTGATCCCGGGCCAGGGCACATACAAGAAACAACCAATGAACCATTAATAAGTGGAACAAGTCGATGTTTTCTCGCTCTAAAAAAAAAAAAAGGAAAAAGAACGTGACAGGGAGGCCGTGCAGTCTCCAGGCAAAGGGCAGCGCAGGACAAGGCGGGCGGACGGAAGAGGCGGAAGGTCGGCGGGAGAGGGGAGGACACGCCTGACCCTCTGGGCGGCTGCGGGAAGCCCGGGTGCGATGGGGGCCCTGGGAAGGAACCCACGCGCGGACTGAGCACGCGCCGCAGACGCGCCACTGTTGTAAATAAGCGACGAGGGCAGAGCGGGATCCAGCGGCTGCCTTGGCCGCCACCGTGCCCGGGAGCCCTCTCCCGGCCCGCGGAGAAGCGGCAATGCCCGAACCACAGTCCGCTCACCTGCGCCGGGTGCACCAGAGCCGCCGCCATCGCGCGACCCCGCGGAGAGAGCGGGGTCACCTCGACCGACCGTCGCACTCCGAGCTCAGTTTCCCCATGTAAGGTGCACACGAGGCCCAGGGAGTCCCTTCAGCGCCGCGGGGACCGAGGTCGTGGCCCTGGGGGGCGCTCGCCGGACGCCCCTTCCACGCCTCGGCCCAGGAAAGTCGCCCGACCCCATTCCTCCAGTTCCCACAGCCAGGGGAGGGGCGAGTGGGCGCAGACAGATGACGTTTCATCAGAGGAGCCGGAAGTCCCGCCCTACAAGCGCGGGCAGCAGGAAACGGCCCTGTCCTGGGCCGTGATTGGCCCAGCGCCGCGTTGCCTTCTGGGATATGTAGTTTTTTTCCATACAGACGACCGGATGTGGGGAACTGCCCAACCCCGTCTTCCCCCGGGAGCCCGGGAGCCCCTTGGCGGAGGGGCGGTCGACGCTCCGGAGGCGGAGGCCTTCGCCGGGAGTGTCGGCAATGCCAGGCGCGGAGTCCTCCCGCGGCGCCGCCCTCTCTCCGCTCCTCTTAGCGGGACCCCGCCGCCGGGACCTTGGCCTCACGCGCCGACTCTGACCCTCTGGGCGCTGGGCCTTCGCCGGGCTTTTCC